GCCCATGCATCCCTCCCACTAGGAGAGAGCAATCTCGAGTAAAGCGGCCACCATCTCCTGTAGTTCTTTGTGTTCCACGGGCACCAATACCACCTCCACCTTCTCCTGTAAGCGACTCCAGGAAGCACAGGGGATTTCCTACTGTTAGATCTGGTAGCTCAAGTCCAAGGCATTGGGGTGTAAAGGGTTGGTATCCTGATGGAACTAATTTGGAAGAAGCATGCTTACATATTGATGGTGCTGAAGTTGTCTGGCCTAATTGGAGAAATAAAAGTAATTCTAATTGCTCGACAGTTCAACCTTTATCATTAATAGCAATGTCCCAGATAGCTCTCGATCAGGAGCATGTGAGTATGCAACCACAATCCAAATATTTGAGCTATGTACTGGGTCTGAAATTTCCTTAACGGTTAATTTCTTTTGCAGCCAGATGTTGCGTTTCCTCTCTATGTACTGGGTCTGAAATTTCCTTAACGGTTAATTTCTTTTGCAGCCAGATGTTGCGTTTCCTCTCTTTCCCCCAACAACAAGCTGTCCTGTAAAAAAGGAATCTCTTTCTTTGATGCATAGCTGCCTAAATGATGAGATCAACTCTTTCTGCAAGCATAAAAAAGGAATCTCTTTCTTTGATGCATAGCTGCCTAAATGATGAGATCAACTCTTTCTGCAAGCATGTAAGCGTTCTCATTGTTGCTAGTGTTTTGTATTTCCTAATTGGAATTTATGCAAATGAATGTTGTCACTGATCAACACTATTCATGGGATATGTGTCAAATGGGTATACAAGGTTGCTGCAGAAAACATGACTACTGATCAACACTATTCATGGGATATGTGTCAAATGGGTATACAAGGTTGCTGCAGAAAACATGACTAAGAAGCCTTACATCACATGGGCTGTTAAACGGGTCACGCGGTCCCTTCAAGTCTTATGGCCCAGGTCCAGGACAAACATTTTTGGTTCAAATGCAACAGGTTTATCCCTTCCCACGAGTGATGTGGACCTTGTGGTTTGTCTGCCTCCAGTGAGAAATCTGGTAAGTGCATCACTTCTGTTGCATCGATCACACCTCTTTTCTGCTTTTTTGCTTATATCAAGCCTTGGTAAGTGCATCACTTCTGTTGCATCGATCACACCTCTTTTCTGCTTTTTTGCTTATATCAAGCCTTGCCGTTGTTATCTTTTAGGAACCTATTAAGGAAGCTGGGATCCTAGAGGGGCGTAATGGTATTAAAGAAACCTGCCTTCAGGTATGCTTATTCATATCTCAAGGAATTGAATATGAGATTGCATCTCGTAACTGTTTATTCTTATCTCAAGGAAAGGATGAATTTGTATGGTTCAAAAAAAAAAAAAAAAATCAGTTTTTTATTATAGTATAAAGTAAATCCAATCTTAGTTATTCGTAAAAATTAGTAGCATCAGCATGATGGACATCGATTCCTCTTGTTGCGTTGGGGTTTCTAATACCCTATAGCCGTCCAATTTTTCCTTTGTTTATTTAGATAAGTTCAAGAGGTTTTTTGTTCTCTTCATGACGTGAGGTTTGATTGACCCCTAGTTTTGTGGCGGTTTCTTGTAATTTTGATTCTTCTTTATCGTATCTGTGAGGTTTGATTGACCCCTAGTTTTGTGGCGGTTTCTTGTAATTTTGATTCTTCTTTATCGTATCTGTTTCTTATCAGATGAACAGAAGGAAGTCAGTTGTCTTATTATCTAAAACATGTTAAAATACCATGATGAATAGATTCGACTAATGAAGTAAAGGATGATAAAGTGTTATGTTAATTTGTGCTCTCAAAATAAGTTCTGAAGGAATCTCTGCATTTCTTGAAATATATGCCAATGATGCCTAAAAATCAGAAAAGAACAATAAGAATGAAAGAAAAGAAACGGAGCTTCTTTCTTTTCATCTCTTATTTAGAGAATTCTTGACAGGGCAATAGTAAAGTGTATTCTTTCTTTTTGAACAAGAGAAATTTTGCGTTATAAATGAAAAGTTAGAAAAATGTTCAAGTAAACAAGTGAAAAGAAAACCAAACAAAAAGAAAAAAAAAGGGAAAAGAAAAGAAAAAAAGTACTATCCAAATAATACGTGAGCCAAAAAATAAAGAGTTAAAGAACAAAATATCTATGAAGAAACCAACCACCAACGAACCAAAACTACCAAGACTACTCCCACCAAGCTGCAAATCTACTGACCAGAAGAAAAAACAACCAGAAACCAAATTTGGAAAGTGAATTAATTCCTAGTGCACAACCTCAGAAAGAAAAAGAAAAGAACCCTATCAGGCTAGATTAGCTTAAAAAACTGAGATAATGAGCAACTCCTCGAATTCCATAAGACATAAGACATAAGATTTGGATAGAGAAAAAACGGAGGAACCCTTTCACGAACTTCTAACCAATTAAAGAAAGACTCCAGAGAGACAAGGCAAGTTAGATATGATTATAAATAGTATATATAGAAGTATTAAGTGCAATTCTTACAAATATAATTGGTTTAAAAGTTAAAGCAAAATCCTATTGTCTAATTCAAGGAAATATTCTGCGTTGAGACATGAGTGGTCAAGAAAATGTGATATTAAAGGAAGTTAAAATTAATCTCCATTTCCCATCCGCATATTTTTATTTATTTGTTAAGTACCAGTTATTCGCTTGACGTGATCTGCAATGCATTTGATATGCATTTAATCAAATGTGTGCAAATGGTGATAAAATGTGGCATGCATTGAAACAAAAAGAGATGCATTGAAACAAAAAGGCTCACAGAATATCACTCGACTCTACTGCCCAAGTATAAATAGATTGCGTTGGCAAATAATACCTGGGTTCTCTTGGGTCGATTCCACAGGGACTTTGACACTTTTGATTCATAAAGAGAAGATTGACAAGCAAAAATATATACTACAAAATAGCGGCCGATTTATAAAAAGTAGATTGGTTTGGTGATGGAACGGAAATGAAAATAAATTAAGTAATAAATGGATATTAACTCTGAATAACGGCACAATGCTTGGCTCTTTAGCTACCTATGCTGAACCTTTCCTATTTTTCTACCTCTATTTCTATTCTGCCACTTGGTAGCTCTTTAGCTACCTATGCTGAACCTTTCCTATTTTTCTACCTCTATTTCTATTCTGCCACTTGGTAATCCTAAGCAAGGAGTCCTACAAGTGCCTCCCCCTTCCAGTATTGCACTATGCTAAATAGGGTAGTTAGATTCCTTTGTGCTACCCTTGTTCATTAAACACTGCACCTTAAATGTGCTACTACTTTGTATCAGTTGACCAAACTGATATACCCTTGTTCATTAAACACTGCACCTTAAATGTGCTACTACTTTGTATCAGTTGACCAAACTGATAGAAGTAATTTCAACAGACACTTTCAAGTAGAAGAACACCAAGAATTTTTGGAGAAATTTTCAGCAAATACAAAATAAGAGTAGCTCAAAATAGGGGCCTTAAATCAAACCTTACAAAAACAGAGAAACTTTATATTAGTGGTAATCTTCCTCTCCAACACTACGAGGGTGGTTCTCACTCCTCCCTTACGTCCCCTCAGGCGAAGACTTGCTGCTCCGACTCCACAACAAGGTTACCAAGAAAACCCCTATTCTCTCAGACAATCCTTATGAGAATTCTCTCAAAAATCCACAACAAGGTTACCAAGAAAACCCCTATTCTCTCAGACAATCCTTATGAGAATTCTCTCAAAAACTCCTATTAAAAAAATAAGTTTCCCTCCTGCAAAGAAATGACTCCCTACATATAGGCAAAGCTTAGCATGGATCTCACGCGCATTTTCATCTCCACACTCAGTGAATATCACGTGGAAGAGGACAAAAAGTACCAGACGTAGGTTAACAACTCTGCAACAGTAACACACACTATGATACGATCCTTAGGAGCCTTTGCCCCTTGACAGAGTAGACGTGATCTCCTCTTTGTGTTTAGCGCAGTATGCCTTGCGACGAAGGAACTGTCCTCATATCGACGCATTTGTATGCTTTCCTAGCACAACATTCGCTGGCGTGCCTTTGATCTCGCACGACTTCCTCCCTTTTCCTTCTTTCTTTAATGCGTTTGACATCCCTTTTTTTGACGCATTACCATTGCGACTTCCTCCCTTTTCCTTCTTTCTTTAATGCGTTTGACATCCCTTTTTTTGACGCATTACCATTGCGTTGAGGGTTTCAGGCCAGTTCTTTGGATGATAACAATTTGGAAGAATCCTATGCAAATGCTTTTATTTCCTTATTTCAGTCGCATTCAAAATCAAAGAAGTTAAAGGAGTTACTTCCAAATCACATCTCAGAATCTCAATGTCTTTCTTCAACTTCTATTTCTTGAGTTAAAGGAGTTACTTCCAAATCACATCTCAGAATCTCAATGTCTTTCTTCAACTTCTATTTCTTGCAAGTTTTCATCTTTAATCGAGCTTTGTGGTTTACAAATGCATGAAATTGCTTCGTTAAATGCCTTAGGAAAATGCTAAGAAGATTCACAAGGAATGCCTTAGCGAACCGTTGCATCTTTTGATATTTCAACGAGGAAAATGCTAAGAAGATTCACAAGGAATGCCTTAGCGAACCGTTGCATCTTTTGATATTTCAACGTCCTTCATAATTGGGGTTTATTGGTTGTTAGAATATTTGGTGAAGATGTTCAACTTGAGTTTTAATTAAGGCTTTTTTCGCTTCCAGTCTTTTTTCAAGAAGTTATTTTAGGTGCCTTGATTATTGGGTTAATTAAGGCTTTTTTCGCTTCCAGTCTTTTTTCAAGAAGTTATTTTAGGTGCCTTGATTATTGGGAATTTCTGATTGTTTCTAAGGCAACATTTATTAAGGTTTTCTCGTTGTTTTCAAGGCAACATTATTATTGCTTTTGGTTCATGATAGTATTAATTTCGGTCCTTGGAACTAGCAGAATTTTCTATCGAATTTTTCTGCTTTTGGTTCATGATAGTATTAATTTCGGTCCTTGGAACTAGCAGAATTTTCTATCGAATTTTTCGTTGACTCTTCATTATCTTCATCTCCGTTGGAGTTAAGGAATAGTTTCTATTGTTGCCTTGCTTAAATAGTTATTGGTGGGAGCTCTATTAATGGAGATTATTTGGAAAATTACTCATTTATTAGGCCCTTAAATAGTTATTGGTGGGAGCTCTATTAATGGAGATTATTTGGAAAATTACTCATTTATTAGGCCCCTTGCATGAAGAGTTGCTAGTGGTTAAGAAACATTTAATGCATCGATGGCTGGGTTCTTTGGAGTTGATTCATTTAATTCTGTTATGTTGGATTGTGGTGGTTAAAGTCCTTTATTGGTGTTTCTTTGCATGGCTCTTCATCTTATTTATGATTTCTCAAATTCCTATGTTGTATTTGAGGAGCAAGTTGTCTTTTTTATGATTTTGATCGATATGGTTAGAATCAAATTCCTATGTTGTATTTGAGGAGCAAGTTGTCTTTTTTATGATTTTGATCGATATGGTTAGAAGATTCTACATTGACAATTTGTTTGGGAAGAAATCAAAGGATTTTCAACTACGAGAATCCTCTTTGGTCAGATCTGTTCGTTTCGGCCCGTTTGAAGGCCTCTTCTTTGTGTGCTTTCATCAATCTCTTTGCTGGCAGATCTGTTCGTTTCGGCCCGTTTGAAGGCCTCTTCTTTGTGTGCTTTCATCAATCTCTTTGCTGGACATTCTATCCAAGATTCATGTCTCATTTGACAGCTTTTATTTGTCCTTTGTAATCTTTTTATTTTCCTATTATTCAGTCCCTTGTAGAGTTATTAACTTTGGGGCATTGGTCTCTTTTCACTTAATCAATGAAATTTTTTGTTTTTTTGTTAGGGAAAAAAAAAAAAAACTGAATTTCCTTCTTATTACCTCTATTCCTAGAAAGTATTTTCACATTCTCAAATCTTTTTGTATGAAATTGACTTCAAGGAAAGGTTTTGAGTGATTGAATGCTTGAGGTGTCATCACTAGTTAACTCGAAAAGTTTGTATAGCTTTAGCGACAAGATGAGCTTTCAACCTTGAGGTGTCATCACTAGTTAACTCGAAAAGTTTGTATAGCTTTAGCGACAAGATGAGCTTTCAACCCCGGCTACAAATCCATCAAAATAGACATTGGCTTTAAATACTGTGTCGGAAGAGAGAAATTAAATCCCAAATACAGTTGTCATCTAAGGCAGACATCTCCTCTACCATTGAAATACATCTACCCGGATGAGACAAAGCTTCATGAGTAGTCTAAGGCAGACATCTCCTCTACCATTGAAATACATCTACCCGGATGAGACAAAGCTTCATGAGTAGTCTTAGGAACAAATACAGGATGTAGGGGTGCTATGAATGAACAGGTAAAAGAAGACCAATGGTTATATGAATCAAAATAGGAGATAGGATAAGTGCACTGACGTTTTCCGTTATAAAGAGCAATAGGATTTATATGAATCAAAATAGGAGATAGGATAAGTGCACTGACGTTTTCCGTTATAAAGAGCAATAGGATAATCATTGCTTGTTTCAGGATCCAAGGACGAAGAAGCCTCTAGTAGAGAGCATGTAACTGAAGGGGGAGGCCGAAGCGAACAAACCTGAGTGATAGGTGGGTGAGAAAAACATGTACAACTGGAAGTGAATCATTAGAGGAACGCAAAAGGAGAGTATTGTAGATAAGAAAATGATCTTCCTCTTTATCCTCCCCATGACTCTTCAACACTGAAATAAACAGATGACCCAAGTGGCAACGTTCTCAAAAGAAAAAGACACTTATGACTCTTCAACACTGAAATAAACAGATGACCCAAGTGGCAACGTTCTCAAAAGAAAAAGACACTTAAGAGCATGTAATGACAATGAATATTTTTGGTTCAAAGACGTAGAAGACCTCAAGATTCACTCCTTTTTCCAATATTCTGTCATAAGATCCTAAATAAACTAAATAGCCAGGAAAGAACAAAACACAACAATGTAGATTGAGTTGAGTCATAAGATCCTAAATAAACTAAATAGCCAGGAAAGAACAAAACACAACAATGTAGATTGAGTTGAGTTTACCAACAAAAATCAAGTTAAATGAGAATGGTTGGTAAAATTTAAAACAGAGGACAAATGAAAGTGAGCTGGTAAGATTGACACTGACACTGTCTGATCGGAGAGATAGTTTCATTTGCTATAGTAACAATAGGTGAAGATTTAAATGGAAATTTATTTGAGAATAAATTAAATTACTTGTCATGTGATCGGAAGTGCCTATTTCAAAGAGGAGGCAAGGAAAAGTTTAGATATGTTACTTGTATCGGTGATGACAATAGTAGGAGAAGATGATGATGTCATAATTTTGTAGACTCAGTCAAAATTGTACCATATTTGTTAGGGTTGTTAAATATACGGGCAACATGTGCAGATTGAAACTTTTTGCCCTTATTCAACAATTGTAACATTCACGTTTTATATGTCCTAACTTTTAACAATTGTGATAAACAATATCCCTTGAATTTAATTTTTGAGTGTTAGGATTTCCTCTAGACTCATTTTTTTGTCCAACCAAAACACTATCAGACTTAGATGACAAGATTGCTCGAGACTTCTTTGTACTAAGTATTCGAATATAAGAGTGTGCCAATGATGAGATGTCTGAGCTACAATAGACTTGACTTTTGACTGTATTATATTTAGAGGCAAGACCAAATAAAAAAACCATAATAAACAATGGCTCACGTTAGGTAGTCTGAACTTTTACAATATTACTATCTAGCTGCCGAACATTAATTTGGGATATGATCTCTTGCACTCCATAAAATAACTCATTAGAGATTCTCACCTTGATCAGGTCAAAACAGAGTGTTAACATGCACCAAACAATCTAATAATGTTTCCCTTTTTGGTGTGAAGAGATTTCAAGCATTTTTAGTTAACATGCACCAAACAATCTAATAATGTTTCCCTTTTTGGTGTGAAGAGATTTCAAGCATTTTTATAGCTCTTTGTCAGACTCAATGATTAATTAGTCTAACTATCTTGCTCTCAATTAAATTATTTCTCTGTAGAATAATCCTAAGACACAAAACTCCAATAATAAACAAACGATTCCTAAACTCCAAACCTTAAGTTTACAAAAACCTACTTAACCTAAAGCCCTGATACCATGTAAACACTAAAGGTTGAGAGAATCAAAATACTCTATTCTATTTACCACCTAAAGCCCTGATACCATGTAAACACTAAAGGTTGAGAGAATCAAAATACTCTATTCTATTTACCAAAGATGCTAATATACATTTGTACAAGGATAAAGATAACAAAACTAATTTATTTACAACAATGTAATTATACTAATGTAATAACCATAACACAATGTATAAAGATGCATTTGGATTGATTTACAACAATGTAATTATACTAATGTAATAACCATAACACAATGTATAAAGATGCATTTGGATTGTTGCAGAAGCTGCTCAACTGTAGCTTTACGACAAAGAAGTGCATTCTCAGTGTCACATGGGTCACATTTATATTATTCTCTTTCTCTCTTTAATACAATTCGCTTGGCTGTTGTGTGTAGAAGTTTGGTCACATTTATATTATTCTCTTTCTCTCTTTAATACAATTCGCTTGGCTGTTGTGTGTAGAAGTTTAATATACATTTTGGTTTCTTCCAGCATGCAGCCAGATATCTTTCCAATCAGGAATGGGTAAAAAGTGATTCCTTAAAGACGGTGGAAAATACTGCTGTAACAGCCTTCTATATCTAAACTATTTAATTAATTCTGTGTTGTTAATAATAATTATTCAGTACATTTACTCATCAGTTTATTTTTTGCGTCAGATACCTATTATCATGCTTGTTGTTGAAGTTCCCCACGATCTCATTGCTTCATCCACTTCAAATATGCAATCATCCAAGGAGGAGTCCTCTGCCGTATCTGGGGAACAAGATGTCAACCTTCTTAATGATATGGCTAGTTTAGAAGATTCTGCGCTGCAAAAATGTTTGGTTGTGAAATATGATTCCTCATCTAGCACCAAGTCAGTTCGTATTGACATCAGTTTCAAGACTCCATCACATACGGGACTCCAAACTTCTGGGCTGGTAATCCATATTTGGAACATAGCATACTTCAGTTTCTGAATTTTATCATAATTGTTTGTGATTTTCTGAACATTCCAATTATGATTTTCTGAAGATTTAATTTAAAGTCATTTTTCTTATAAAAAAGGAAGAAGAAGAAGAAACAGAGAACTTGATATTCATACTGCTATTTAATGGAATTGAAAGTTTGTTTGTGGTCTGAATTTCTTAAAGACAGAGGACGCAGCTTAACCTAGTATAATAATTATTAAGCCTTTATAAGTATTATCTCTAGTGGAATCTGCCGGTTATTATCCTTAACTAAAACAATCTTTGACTGGGAGTTAAACTAACAAATTTTTACTAGAATCAATAAACGATCTTTTCCCATCGGTTCTTTCATATGGGATTTTGTTTAATTATATCATTATGAGATGATCTCGTTTGTTAAATGCTTTTTGTTTTTGCTTTTGTTTTTATTTACTTTTATAATTTTTAAATATAGACTTGTGCTTTGAACCTTTATTAGCTTGGATGACGAGTATTTGGTATGGATGCTTTTGTCTTCCATCCCTCTTCTTTCTATGTGATTTCTAATTTCTTAGTTTTCCCTTGCTTTGCAACAATTTTTCTTCTCTCAATTTAGTTCTTATATAATGAGCAGAAAAAAGGATAATGTTATGTTGTTGGAACATTGAGCATTTTTCTTTTTCAACCAAGAATAAACTTTATGTTTATAATTAAAAAAGTGACAAGTTGTGAATTAATGTTCAAAGAACAAACTGTTGCATACAAGGATCGACTCCTGAATGGCTCTAGAGTTTCAGAAAAATACATGAAATTTTGCCAACTCAAGCATATCCCACTCTTTCCTTTCCCTTTTGAAATTTCTGTTATTATTATTTTTTTTTTGGTAGCATTTTCCCGATGTATCTTAGCTTTTCTCTCAAGTGGGCGATGACCATAGAAGTCCAGAAGTTTGTACGTAGAGAATACGGAGCCCTATGCTAAAAGTACAATAATAGAAGAGAACACAAAGGAGTTGAAGCCAACGTGGAGAATTTCACTTGAACTCATATCTGAAATGCTTGTGCACGCAAACAAAGCAGTTCCCCTACTTTGGTTGCCTTTTTCCTTCCTAAATTTCCTTGAGAGAGTTATTTTTCAAGCTCCCTCAACGAATGATTTTCCATAAAACAATGATTGTAGCGAGAAGAAGATGCCCGATGTGTGTAGGTTCTAACTTCATATTTTCCTTCCCTTAAAGGTAATTTACCATACTTGATTTTGAGGTCGTGACGGCAGATTATTCTCAAGGGAAATCTCCTGGTATTTAGAATGGAAGGCCATTCCAATCCTAATTCTGTATACTTGGAAACAGATTATTTTCCATCTTGAGGTGGGGACTTCTTGTAGTACCCAATCCTTCACAGAGGAAATCCTTAATCCACAAATACCAAAGGCAGCTCTTGCCAGAGGATATGTAGTGAGAACTGTGCAGGAGGGATGAAATTTCCTGATATTTAGTATTCATGCCCTCTTTTAGCAAAATCCAAAAGAGAACTTGATTATTTTTGGTTAACAGACCTTCCAGAAAAGCTTTGAAGTGAGATCTTTGTGGATTTACTTTGGATCTTGCTAGAAAAGGAGGCAGTGTTATCAGATCTTTGTGGATTTACTTGTGTCGTTTCTCAGAAATAAATATTCTCTGTTTAATCTGTTTTTCCCAATTTTCTCAGTAAAGTTTCACAAGAGTGCTGTTTGTGTACAAATATTTTCTTGTAATTTGTCTTTGATTCTGTACAATGTCAATTGCAGGTTAAGAAGCTGACTGAACAATTTCCAGCCACTATACCTTTGGCGTTGGTATTAAAAATGTTTTTGGCAGATCGTAGTCTTGATCAGTCCTATTCTGGCGGCTTAAGTTCTTACTGTTTGGTGAGTTGTCCCAACCTCCTTTTGTAGCTTAATGTAATCAAAAGAAAGGAAATGATTACAAGAAAATAAGGGAGAAATGTCTCTTGTTATTACTAGGATATATTTAAGAACGAAAAAGAAGGTGCAGCTTACAGCTGAGGTAAAGAAAACCCTCACCCGGCTAATACTACTTGAAGGATATATACTCCAACACGAGGCTATATACTGTACCATCTTGAAGGATCCTTTGAAAAGTTTGTATCTTGTTTAAATAAGAAAGAAATACAAAAAATCTCTTCAACTTTTGTTTCTTATAAAAATAAAACGGCTTAAACTGTGCCTTTCCAAAGCACTTTATCTTTCAGCCACCAACCCAGAAGAGCTTCAGTGAGCCAAAAAGGATCATCCTTTGGTAAATGGCAATGCAAAAGCACATAATCAAGAGTTTCTTTTTGAAGGAAAACAGCAAGCGCAAGGGAAAATAAACCAACCGGGATTTTTCTGTTGGATGGTGCGAATATTGAAACTTTTCTAGGCAATGAACCTCAGTTTTTTTCTTTTTTTTTTTTTTTTTTTTTTTTAATAA